CTGATTACGATCACCGCGTTTGATCCTTTGCTAATGTCTTGGTATATTGAACCGTTCCAGAATGGTGTAGCGCTGATAATGGACGAGGTGCAGACAGGGTGCGGCCCGACCGGCAAGATGTGGTGCCACGAGCACTTCCAGCTGCCCTCGCCGCCCGATGTCGTCACCTTCAGCAAGAAGATGCTCACCGGCGGATTCTACTTCAGCGAAAGCTTCAAGTATGTTTATAATATTGATTTTTTTAAACATCGATTTTTAATACGTTATAATTTAAATGAAACTTATATGCAATTTGTCTATTTCATAATTCACTTCAGAGTAGACACTACGTAATATATTAAGGCGTGGGAAACAATTATTATTGGAAAATGTCTGTTTTTTATTTTTCTTTTTGTTTTGTTTATTCTCTTTGCTATTGTTATACTGTTATTTTTATTGTCCGTATGCAAAAACTATCGATATTGTTTTCCAGTAAATAAATAAATAAAAAGTCACGCCTTGATTAAAGAGCTTTGATCTATTAATGTCATTAAGTCTTTACATGGATTTTTATGTTTGGTTTTATCTTTTTTCCAGACCTCCTCATCCGTACAGAGTTTTCAACACCTGGATGGGTGATCCAGGAAAATTGATTCTTTTAGAAAAAGTTTTGGAAGTCATCAAAAGTGACAATCTCATTCGATTAACACAAGAAGTGGGAAGTCATTTGAAGAAAGGTCTCCATCAACTGGAAAAAGAGTTTCCGAATGTTATCAACAGCGTGCGAGGTCGCGGTACTTTCTTAGCATTCGATGCAACCACCTCGGAACTCAGAGACAAGATTAATAACAACATGAAGAAAAATGGTAAGTTGGTAATTAATTAAATATCAATAATAAAAAAAAAACCTAATAACCGCACTCAGAGTAGCTATGTCACAAAGGGACCACCTTAGTATAGATTTAATATAAACATGTATTAGACTTACCAAAAGATAGGTGATTTTGCCCTTTCTCGTCTTCCACAAACCATGAAAGAGATGACAAACACTTCCAAGGGGTGACAAGTCAGTAGACGTTCAGGCCCTGGTGTAGCACACTGTCCATCTAGTAAAATTATTAAAATAGTTAAGTAACGTGTTATTTGCGTCAGATTTGACAAGTTTATGTTAACTTTCAGGCGTGCTGGGCGGATCATGTGGGGAGCGCGCCATACGTATCAGACCGGCGTTGGTGTTCCAAAAGAAACACGCGGATATATATCTAGATATATTAAGGAAAACACTGAAACAATTTTAGATTTTGACAATACGTAGTCTTCTCTACATTCATTCCTTACTTATGTATAATTGCAATAATTAAATAATGTGACATATTCACAGTATTATTAGCTTATGCATTTATTTTTGTGCCAAAGTGCCATAGACGTATTTATATTTTTTTTTAATTTTAAAGCACAAACAATGTTGTAATAATGTTTAATTAAATGTCAAAATGTTGGCTGTGTAAGAAATAAAGTGTTTTTCTATATAGATAATTGTTAACGATATTTTACTATCATTGTATGTTATTTGCATAGTTTAAAAATATATTGTAATGTAACGTTGCATGCCTCAGAAAAGTCTTCCATTTTAGTAAATAGTAATAAATAAAAACTTTCGAAATGTGTTTGTTTTTTTTTTAATATCAAGAATACCTACATAGATTGACTTGCAAGAGATGTATGGAAAAACTAAACAGATATGTCAAGTAAGAATATCAGATTATATATAGTACAAATTCAGACCCCATCGTGTTTTTATGACGTTTATTAAAGTTGAGTTGTGGTATGGTAATTAAATCGTGCTCCTGTTTACGTTTTATTGATGTTTTTCCAAGCATAAAATCTTCCTTTATTGTGTCATCGTCCTGTGCCACGTGTGGACGTGACGTAGTGAGATATGACACCTTAATACGCAGAAAAGAATATTTTGCATTAAAGGTACATCATCAATTTAAAAGTGAAGTTCATAAAATCTTGAAAAATATACACGTAAAGGTAGAGTTAGTTATCTTGTCAGAATACATAGTCGACTACTTATTTGATAGTAAATTAACGATTTAATGGCCATTTCTCACTGAGCTTCGAAAGATTTTATTCGGTTAGGTTTCTTTTTTTAGTTTTTATATCTTTATTATAAAAATAAAAAAAAAGAAATCTTGTAACCGAATAAAATCTTTCAAAGCTCAGTAAAAAATAGTTTTTATTTGCTGACCATTAAATCGTTAATTTATCTTTCCAATACGAAGTCGACTACGTATCTTGTCAGAGCTCTAACTTTAGGTGTACATTTTTCAAGATTTTTATGAACACTATTTAGTGTGCAAAACAAATCCATTCCCAGTCTACATATAACGCATATATATCTACACATATACTAATGGCGTCACTGCGAAGGTGTACATTACTTTCATCATTGATTCATAATTGTAGACATTTATTTTTAGGTTTCAACTAAAATGATCCGCCGAACTATTTTTGAGTTATGTATCCCACGCAACTATTGAAAAATCATAATTTCACTTATAACTACATTTTATCCAAAAGCCATATTAAAATGTTTATAGTGGTATAATTTTCACTCTAGATATCTGTATAATAAGAACAAGAATGATTTCCATAACATAAAAAAGCTCGATATGGTCCTTGAATATTTGAACTATTACGAAAACATTCAAATTAATTTTATTTCTCACATAAAGTTTTCATCTAAATACTCTTAATCATAACTATTAAAATTTAAGATTATTCTTGTTATATTTCGAGTATAATTTACGTTAAAAAAGACACGAATTATATTATAAATATTACATTCAAAAATAATAAAAAAATCCATAGAAAAATGTTAACTAAAAATCAACCGTCTCGTGTAACCTGTGACGCGACTCGCCGTGAAGTCTATAATAAGAATGCCGCTTGGGAAGTGATTACGTATTCTATACCTATTTATTTGTCCAATTCTCTAATAATAGATCATCTTATTATAGCACTCAAGTGACGTACATATACGTTTTAATTTACCGTCTAAGTTTCCTATTTCAAGAATATCGAGAAACGGACATATTTTATTGAATCAAATAGGCAAAGGATGTAAAATATCTTATGAGTAAAACAAACTGATAACTATAGTTCTAGGTAAATAAAGATTTTTCATCAATATAAGCGATCCTCAATGATGCGAGCTTTTATCATTGAATGTGACTACTAAAGTATTTTCGGCGCCTGCCTGATTCATAGGTTTGGCGCACTTCTGGTATTGTATAAGTTTATTAAAATGTAACATACAATTTTCTAAAATTAAATTTTATATGATTTCTAAAATTAATGTTATATGAGTACATTTAAGTACTTTATTTTTCGTGAATATTGTTTTATTGCAACAATAATGGTTACTTAATATCAAATGGAAACGTTAATTGCACTTTACATGTTTATTTATACAATACATGCAGCTTACAATATTGTCCAATTATCTTAAAAATTTCCACTCACTCTTTCCACAAAAGGGCGGGTAATGCATCTGTAATTATTGTGATTGTTATTGGTAGCATAGGACCAAAGGTCACGTAATATCAGATGACCCGCTTGCTCTTCTGTCATATTTTATAGGTATGTATAATGTAATTTATTCTACGCACATTTTATAGTATTCAATTTATTCTTACCAATATAAATATTCTTATCGCATGTGCCATTGCTGTTGACTAAAGATATAATTTTAACGTTTATGTATAGCCAAAAGTAAGCAGGATAAAATTCGTAGGCGCAAATCTGGAAAACATAGTGTACACAAAATATAGGCACACGTGATGATTGCGTCGTAGTCGGGAACTCGGGAACGAGGTCGCAGGTAATTTTATTAATATGTGCAGGCTAAAACTTTAGCTATTACGAAAGTCTAGACTTGATATTTTATGGATAAGGTAGAGAGAATTTGCATGTAGGTATATAAGTTTCATCTAGGTGCTAGATTTGTCGATTAGATATTCGTCTAACTATGAATATCTGTCATTTATCCAAAGATTCCATTTCAGTTTTTTGTACAATATAAAATTCATTAAAAAAAACTATCTACGAGGAACGCCAACGTCTAGCTGTGGACGACCATCGGTTGACAATGAAATAAGAAAAAAAATGATTATACCTTTTGAAATCACAAGAGGCAGTTTATGTAATTTATACCTAAAGGCTAAATAAGAACGTAAATAACGAATTCTTCCACTTCAGTTGTTTTTGTTCGTTACAAATACAAATGCATTATTCATGGCATTGTTCAATATTTGTGTTTGTGTTACTCATATCTTCGGTGTTGCTTTTTTATTTCAATGAAGAATTCTTTTGTAATGTAAACAGAACAACTGATTTGCCTAAGCTAGTTTTACATAACAAAGATTTGTGAGATACCTATTCTCACTTGCTTATTTGCATGTATTGGCAAAAATTAAACCATTACTTATACCTATAAATGATAAAAAATTGATATAATATAATTATAACATTTCACGGGACTGATACAGTCATATATTACTTATGTACTTTAAATTATTAAATGTTTACCTAAGAATTATACTGAACGATATAATATGCATTGCATTTCGAAGATTTTAGTTTTACGTTTCTTTTCCCTCCATTGCCCGCACCGGGGCTTGCCATGACGAATAGGTGATCAATATTGCCAGTGTTAAAATTATGTTCTTAATCAGTAGAATCTGCTTAATTGATATAACAAATCTACTTTTGTTACATTAAACGTTATTATACATTCGTTAATTATAAGATCGTTTCGTAAATGTAGCTACATACACAAAAAAATAAGAAAGTATCCTTTGATGTAAAAATTTTACTAGATTTTCTTTTGTTATTTTTAGTGTTTTAAGGTTCAGTAAAAATTGATTGGTAAAAGCTTGAATGAAATGTACGAACACACCTTTCTCAAGGTTTTTACGTAAGTATAATTATTACCTACCCACCTTACCTCAGTAATTTGGTCTTGGTGGTTCTTGGTAGAAGTTGGTAGAGCTGGTATCTACAACTGTGCAACAGTATGTCAGTCTGATATTTATTAGAAATAGGTGCGGTTACAAAACACCTTAGTTTATTATCTTTTGTTTAATTCAGCAAATTTTCACTACCAAAATTTACTGTTTTTCCATACTACGGTATATGACAAATTGCTTAACAAAGGCCTGATTGTGATAGATTCAGTGTTATTATTTTCTCCAGCAGATCGAACAACAGTGTCATTGGACAAGACCAATCATCCGTTTCGTGCATGTGTATTCTACATAATAGAAGTCGCTATCAAATTGTGATCGGATGTCAATGCTGGGTTAGATTTAAAATACAAAGGTGATAAAAGTGTAGTGAATTGTGTAATTTCGACATTCGACAAAAACATCGATTTGGTCGCTGCTGTTGCACCTGTCTTTATTCACCGGAAGAACAAATGTTATTTTAAGGTTTTATTTTTGTTTTTATTATCTGAATTAAGTTCGAAAATTTCCATTGCCTTTATTAATTTACTTATTTCCGCTAAAGTTTATATATTTTTAAGAAAATATAGAGAGGTTTCTTGCCTTATTTAAAACACAGTATGCATCATACCGTGTGTAGGTGTAAGACAGCTCTTAATTTTTTTTATAAGCTTGCAAATGATTTTAAATTATGTCTTGTACTTACAATTAATGAGTAAAAGTTAAACAACATTCATTTAAGCTAAAATCAGCTGATCAATGAAAATATAGATTTTGCTAGAAACAGCCTGAACATTTTTCGTAACTAGTTTTAGTTGATATCTATTTCGAAAGTATTTCTTCCTAACGTCTTTGTTGCAAAACATAATACGTTAACATTACGACGTGCAAACATAAGATTTACAAATACTGAAGTAATTGCAATAACATTTCCAAACAATGCAAACATGGGAAGCTTGCGCGACTTCTGCCTCATTATATGACTATGTGATCATTAATTTCACCAACTGTTTTACTGTGTGTTATAATTAACTAGTTAAAATATTAATATTCATTTTTTACATGATAATTATTGATAAAATTATATGCCATGCTTATATACAAAATGACATGTGACAGTAAACTACATCATGTAATTTCCTTTTCTGTTTTCTTAATCAACCATTAATCATTAATGGTACATGCTATAGTTAAGACTTAACAATTAGCACATGCTGATAACTGCATTGATAATTCAACTTGGTGCTTTATATGTTTTTGATCAATTTGCATGTGGTACTTGTTTACATCTTATTTTCTCATCACAACCAATGTGTCATCAACATGATAAGATTAGATGAATGATTTGCTTATGCTATGTGTGTACTTTTATAATTGCTTGCTTTCAAGTGTCATTTTGAAATTTTGAATTTCATTACTGTGTTAAGTATGTTATCTCCTATCTTAACTAGGAGTAGAGATTTTAATTTAGAGATTAAGATTAAAGAGCACAATTATATTTCAAATGCTGATATGGTAAATAAAATATGTACCCATTGAGATCTTGTTAATAAACCTTGGTGAATAAAATTTATAACATACTATGATGAATTACATTTTTCCACATACACTATAATTATCTCTTTATAAAAAATAATGAACATGTGCCAGTTTGAGATAGCAGAGGTTGAATAAAAAAGTTAAGATATTGTGTTGTTTCATCCCTTCTCATTTTTGATAGAAATATCTATTAAACAAGAGTCAAAACAGCAAATTCTACAGCAATTAAAGAAATAAAACTAGTATTTAATTACATTTCCTAGTCAGATCAGTCTGGTTATATTTTTATTTGTATGTTCCATTTTGAGATGTTAGAATTTAACTTAAACATATTTCAAGTACATAATTGCTACTTGAAGGGTTAAACCTAAGTAATTAAAGTGCTTGCAAATGTTTGCTAGGAAATTGCTTTAATGTTATTTATACATGTATTGTAAATATAAGATCCTCTTTGGAACTCTACAAATAATAATGATGAATTCTTTTGTTTTCCCGGTGACATTCACCCGTCTCATGGCAGCCATGTCAAAGGCGGGTGTCCTGTCAAACTTCAGTAATACATTAATATACATTTAATTGTTGTAGTTCATATTCATTAAATTGTATATTTTTAAAGGAAATATATAATAGTTTATTCCAATAGCACATGTGCTTTATGTTACTGTTATTTTAAAATCTTGTATATTTCAGATAATTGTATCCCCCTTGCGGGTAACTAAATATGGTGGACTACTACAGAACATTGGGTGTTTCAAAGACTGCTTCTGAAGCAGAGATCAAAAAGGCGTAAGTGTCTTATTATATGGTTAATTATCTCTTTGAAATATATATTTTACAACATCTCCTTGTTTACAGTTATAGAAAATTAGCTCTTAAATGGCACCCGGATAAGAATCCAGACAATGCAGATGAGGCTAACAGAAGATTTAAGGAAATATCTGAGGCTTATGAAGTTTTGTCTGATGGTAGGTGTATTATTTCAATATTATATATATCTTTCATTCTTAGCTACCTGGACCATCCAGTATATTCCACAGCACTGTATTCTATATGCATTTTTACCTGAATAACAAGACTGTGACTAGATTTCAACCATTGCAGTTATAAAAATATTAGTAGAAAATGCACTCCACAAATACTAGGTGTATTTATATAATAAAATTAAATATTATTACATAAATGAAACTTTATTGGTAATTATGGTAGTAGAAAACTGATGCTGAACTTCTAACATATTTTTATGTTTACTGTATATGTTATTTTCTTAATATTACTGGACTTATTGTAAATGTAGAAGCAATAGTTTAATATTTATTTCTAAATTAATACAAGTATTTATTGATCCCTCATGTCTGTGTATATTAAATCACATGCACTCAAGTGACCTGCTCATAAAGTGGATCAATGTTGTATGTGGAATTGGGTTGAGCTATTACTTCTGTATGCAAGCACTTGTCCATTTATTATTATAAGTGTACATTATAATGTTATTGTTGGGTAGAAAACAAGAGGAAAGTGTATGATGCACGGGCTTCCAGTCACCACAGTCACAGATATCAAAGCAAGAATGGAGTAAATGGCCACCGACACTTTAGCTTCAAGGGGTTTTTCGGAGAGACACCTTTTCACCGATTTTTTGGTAGTGTCAATTTCATGTAGGGCTAGTACAGTGAATATTATCATTTTTGTTCCTATGATTTGTTTAACAAGTGTATAATTTTAATGTGTCAAAGATATATGGCAGAACTGTAATCATAAACTTATAGCATTTGAGACAGACAAAGCCCTATTGATATACACATACAACATTTTTACATTATAAGTATTTAAGAGTTTAGGAAACGTAGCAAAGTGAATTTTATACTCATACTAGCTGTCGCCCGCGACTCTATCCACAGGGAATTTAACTTAATTAGTAGCCTATGTGTTCTTGCAGACTATGTTCTACATCTATTCCAAACTTCAGCGAGATCTAAGCTGTTCTGGAGATACATTGTAACAAACATCCATCCATCCAAATGTTTATAATATTAGTAAGATATGAATCAGTGCTGCACCACATATCCTTATAATAAAGTAGGACACAAAGTGATAATATTCAGATAAGTAATAAAGCAAATAACAATTAGTTTTGTTTATTGAATCCGCCTACTTACTCAACTAATGGTCTGGAGTTGTGAGTGAAATAACATTTGGTGTGAACTGTGACTTGCTTCCAATTATCTCAGCATGACATCACTCAACAAGGAGGGCCTATCAATATGTACTGAGTTCTATGTTATATTATTCTTGCGCAAAGATTTAATAATTTTAATGTATTTGTACTTATAATTTTATTTATATGCCCTTTTTACCTGATATTGTATTATGAGTTTTATCTGATTTCTTGGTCTTCAGAGTGAATCAAACTTGGTGTTAACAGTCTACATCTTGAAACTATTGAACTGTTGCGGTATCTGAAATAAAGTTGCTTCAGTTATTTTCATATCGATGACATCATTTGGTTTATCAAATTGTACTAATATTGACATGTCATGGTAAATTAACTCAACCATCAAACACATTTAACACTAAATTACAGTAACAGTTAATGAAAATTAATTTATTGGAATAATGTACTCCAAGGCTTACTTTACTGAATTTAGGATTATGGATACTGTAAGATTATAGTTGAATCCTAGTTGAAAATTCATAACATATTTAGAAATTTCTAACAAATAACAATAACAAGTAAGTGTGAGGGAGCTTATTGATTTATTGTATATATCTCTATTTCTTTCACATTTCCATAATGTTTATAATGAATTGTATTTTATGTTTAAAAGACTGTTATCCGCCTAAGATCTAATATAACCAACACTTTGAGGTATAACATAAAAGCACAAAAAGCAAAGCATATTTCTAAGTAATAAAATAAGTTGTAGTTATTATTATTAGCATAAATAAGATTTAGAATATTGTAAATATCGCTTTTTTCATAGCATGTGCAGCGATTATAACTATGTTTTGTACATGCAGAAAGAAAACGGCGTGTGTATGATCAGTACGGCAAGGAGGGGCTGAATAACGGGCGCGGCAGGCGCTCCGCCCCTGACGAGGACTACGAGTTCGGATACCACAGCTTCCCCTTCACATTCCGAGACCCCGAGGAAGTGTTCCGAGAATTTTTCGGTGGCTCTCCGTTTGGTGATTTGTTTGCTGGTAAGTAATTAATCTAGTTTTATTGTTTAAATGCTAAAACGACAAATTCTGAATAGTTACTGTCAAGTTGATGCAATTCACGTTTAGTGACAAACTGACTTTGTAATTTTTCACTTGATTTTATCCTTTACAAAGCTTTTCCTATGTGGTGAATCATAGGTTGGAATTATAATTGACATTTATAACAAAGGATGGCATTGAGAATAAAAACTTGAGTTACTGTCCTATAAAACTTCAATAATTTTAATAATTGTACAAATTTGAAATATTATTTTATAATTGAATTTGTTTTAAGGGAATATTCTTTAACAGTTTAATAAGACATGTTTTGTCTCCAGATCTGAACGGGCACGGCTACCACCACCGGCATGGGCGGCGGAGTCACCCGAGCACGTCGCTGACGT